TAACCGCAAACCGGTTACAAGCGACCCTGCTAATGTTGCCTGCCTCGGTAGGAATTCCCCTCTGAACGGTGGAAAACCAAGACGGTCATCCCTGTCTCGCTATAATCCAGTAAAAGATACTATATTACCCTGAATAGTTATAGTGCATGAAAACTGCGCATCATTGCCGTAATAAACACCATCTAATGGATGCAATGAGATGTGCTCCTTGGCCGAAATATTGCCGCTATTGTGGATTTTGGAATATGATGGACAAAAAGGAGAAAAATTATGTACTTGAACAAGTCAAAACCAGCTGCTAATGGTGCGTAACTTGTGTGCTTTGAAGCAATACAATATATATATATATATATAATATATATATATATATGTGTGTGTCTCATCGACATCTCATATAGGCCTACATATATGAGGAAAATAATATAAAAAACTAAAAACTGCACACCCAAAAATTTAACATCCAAGTAAGAATCGAAATAAAACGTGAAACCCTTCATTGCGTCTTAAAACTGCAGCGCGATTAATATAATGTTGGTTTGGTCATATATTTTTTATACGAATTTATGTGCAGAAATTAGGAAAGTTTGTGCCTTTCGTCGTTTGAGTTTATTCGTGTATTATCGTGTGTCATTTCGTACCTGTGTCCTGGTCCAACAATTAAGATTGCCATAAAGTGGCAATGGCTGTAATGAGGCATGAGAGGGATAAAGTGGCGTTTTAAACTTAATTAACGACAGATACAATATCATATATAATAAGCCAGACATCGAAATAGCGTTTAGAGAAGCTGTAGAAATTAATAAATAGTAGATTTGTTATTACACTGCGCATATATTGGATGTCGTCAATTATTTCGGAGCGTACTTTGCCTAGTTATCCCCTGCAGGTCTCTAATCGTGGTTTAGCGTGTCCGCTTTAGTGTTATCTTATTTCGTGTTGCGGTAATGTACAAATAGTAACAAGGTTCAAGTCAAATTAAAATAGAAGAATACCTACAACAGATTGTAAGTTCCTGGTTGGTGGTCGCATTTATTTGGCTTGTGTGGTCAGCGTTGAGTTATTAGCAGTTCATTAATGATAGTGTCAATCGGTATATTGCGTAACCAAGACGTTAAAAACGGCTAGGACTTAGAACTTGGAAGTACAGACACTGAGGCACACTCACTGACTCGTACTCAAAGTAGTTCCAGGGTAACTAATAATCTAGCAAGCATCTACCGTACCGGCATTGGTATTTTACTACCGCGCTTATTATCTCGACCTCCTAGCCAAACGATGAGGAGTTTTGTCCAAACGCCTATATATTCTCACCCGAATCTCGTTGTTTCATTTCAAACTGCGACTCTGTGTCATGATCTTTTAGTTTTAGTTTTAGTTTTACTTTAGGCAGTGGCTACGGGTACGGTAGCCGTATATTAATGTCTCGAGGCTACGGGTACGGGAGTCCATTCGCTTTCATACTTAACGAGACAAAGATGGCGGCGGTGGCGGCAGATTTCGAAATAGGACGTGGAAGGTACTATCTAATATGCCGGACCGTACCTCGCCTACTCCACTAACGAGTCTAGGGAGTCGCCTACGCCTACTCCCTAACCCGAACCCGAACCCTAACCCTAACCCTAACCTTAATCCTAACCCTAACCCTAACCATAGCAAATAGTTACCAGGGTACGTTCCGGTATACCGGACCGTATCCAAGGTACGTTCCGGGAGTACCCTGGGGGACATAGACCCTATGAGCCAAACTTGCGTGCGCGTGTGTGCATGCGTGCTCGTGAACATGAGACGGCCAGGTGGAAGATAGGTCCGCGCCAATTTATTGTGTCTGTACCTAACATGTTTTACCGTCGTTAAATAAAGTGTTTACTTACTTACGTGCGCGTGTGCATGCGTGCACGTGTGCATGCGTGCGCGTGTGCATGCGTGTGTGCGTGCGCGTGTGTGCATGCGTGTGTGTGTGCATGCGTGCGCGTGTGCATGCGTGCGCGTATGCGTGCGTGTGCATGCGTGTGGGCGTGCGCGTGTGTGCATGCGTGTGTGCGTGCGCGTGTGCCTGTGCATGCGTGCGCGCGTGCATGCGTGCGCGTACATGCGTGCGCGTGTGTGCATGCGTGCGCGTGTGCATGCGTGCGTGTGTGCGTGCGCGTGTGCATGCGTGCGTGTGGGCGTGCGCGTGTGCATGCGTGTGCGTATGCATGCGTGCGCGTGTGCATGCGTGCGCGCGCGTGTGCTTCCAAATTTAATATCCCATGATCCAAGGGTCGAAATTCGCTATATAGTGATTGCGCAACACAAGTGATTTTCACCGAACGCAAGCGATGTTTCGTAGCCACTTGCGGCTGCCGCAAGTCAACAATATGCCAGCTACTTGCGTATTTAGAAGTCAGACCCATTTTATTTTGATTTCTGTACGAAATTGAAGCGTAAATGACTCTGAATCAGAGCAGGAAGACACAGAAGACATGGAATAAATCATAAACTAAAACAGGGAGGAAGGAAAGGGGATTGGAGTTTGGATTTGATCAATCTGTACCTCTGCCAGTTAGGAGAGCAACAGAGGTAGGTGCAAGTAAAAATCTCTTGGCGCAAGTAATTCTTTAACCTAACTTGCGGCATGCGCAAGTGTTTTTTTTAGCGAATTTCGTGGTGATACTCCATTACGAGTGTTCCCAACTTTAATGTCATTAATGGTTAGGGTTATGTTATAGGTTAGGTTAGGGTTAGGGTTAGGATTATCAATAATTAATCATTAATTATTAATGATATCAAAGTTGGGAACACTCCTAAATGGAGCGTTAGCCGAATTTCGAACCCTGCGCGCATCATCACGTGGTAAATGCTCTCTTCGTGGAATCGTGAACGATTTCCCTTATCCTTTGTTATGATCATAGGTAACATGATTAATATAGAATAATTTTAAACGCATTGCGCACGTGATGCGATAAATGTGCTTCACATAAAAGTGAGTCAATGTCGTTGAAAGCCACGTGAATGAATATATCTGCATGTATGTCCAGTATGCCTGTCAGGGCTTGACTATATTGTGAACAACACTCAACACATAGCAAGTAGACACGAGTTCCAGGTATATCCCCGTGTGCTGCAGTTAATCTTAAATAAAGTTACTAAGTGGGAGAAAAAAAAGAGGTGGTGGAAATGAGGAAATGAGAGAGGATGGAGACGAAAGTGAATAAGAGGGAACGAGAAGTGAGAAAAAGAAAGAACGAGGTAGACAGAGGGGGAGGGAGCAGGAAAGGAATAGGTAGAGAGAGGGAGAGGGAACAGGTTTGACTGTAGCGTGACATTAAAGGACACTCGCCGTCACGCGTTAACGCGAGAGTTTACGTTGTTTTTTTTCCGCGTAGGTGTTTGTGGCGAACCCGGACAAACCGAAACCCATCCTCGACATTCTGCTGCGCAACAAGGAGAAACTCATTGAGTTCCTCACCAAGTTTCACACGGACCGGACAGAGGATGAACAGTTTAATGATGAGAAGGCCTACCTAATTCGCCAGATCAGGGAGCTGAAGCCGCTAGACGACTAGCCCGGCAAGCGACGATAACCGACGGCAACCGCCGACGACTGACGGTAACCGACGGCAACCGCCGACGACTGACGGTAACCGACGGCAACTGCCGACGACCGACGGTAACCGACGGCAACAGTAACTGGCTGTAAGCGGTGGTGAGCGTATTGTGTTATTGATGCCGGCGGAGGTGAGAGGGCGGAAATCACGACCCGTGCGACCGAAATGCTAGAAGGTCTTTATAATGGCTGTTCTCTTGTCACATATCCTCGTTGTGCGACGTCTCCGCGGTGTGAGGGGTTCCTGCCACGCCTGATTCAGGTGGAATGTAGACACACACACGCACACATACATACATACATACAATACACTTGTGACACCAAATATCTTACAGCTAAACTTTGAAGCTACTCTGAGAGAAATACTCGTGTCCGAGACAAACGCTTCCTTTTAGATGCTATTCGCTCAAATTTATGCGCTAAGTAACGGTGTATGGAGAGTGTGACGGTGGTGTAGTAAGCGGGTGTTTCCGTGAATGTTCATGCATGTGATGGTGGTTCCTATGTGCACATAACTTCTTTAGTTGAGGATGACATCTGTAGCAACGCGTCACGCACGTATAATATATCGTACTGTAATAGGTCTCGGCTTCACTACACATAAATATACCGACGTCCGACGCGGCGGCGCGGAACCTAGAGGCACGCCATTGTGTATTGCAGCGACGCGTCGGATCGGCTCACGTAAACGCGCTGTCCACTTGTTACGTACGACGTCACGTGACTACATTGTTGCGTCGTAACGTCGCACAAGCGTGCGGAAAGGTTCGGTGGTGACTGTGTATCGCGTGGCGTATAGCCTGAGATCGGTGTGTGCAGCACTGACATCGTTGCTCGTGATGACACGCCCTGTAGAGGGCGCTCCTATCTAGCACTCGCTACTCGACGTGACAGCTGTGTTTTTCCCATAGTAGGAATGGTTTATCCACCCACCTCCATCCACCTTGTGATGCCTAACTAACAGCTAACGCACGGGGGTACGTAGCCTGAGGAACTGTGTACCTGAAAGGTATTAAACTTACGACAGTGACAATCTTACAAGGTAACTTTTATACCTGGTAAGTTGGTAACACCTATCACACATCTGTTACTCGCAGTGACTCCAAAGAGCCAAGCCTTAGGTGGCTCACAATGAAGGGGCGGAATTACGATTTCTTTTTGCAGCTACTCGCCTCCGGAGATAGAATTAAACTCGTGTCCTCTAATCTGTTTCATCCGTGTTCACGTATGTTTGTCGCCTGTACAGTTTGCTTGCTTGTCGGTTGATTGTAGGAGGATGCCTCTATTTGGCAAAGCTCAGAAAACTCCTGCCGAGGTGGTGAAGGCTCTGCGCGATGCCATTCTTGCTCTCGACAAGGGTGACAAAAAGGCAGACAAGGTAAAATTAAAGGACACGACACGGTCGGACGGTGACGTGCGGAGAAACCGTCCCGACTCTAATACTCTAGTACTTACCTATCTCGCGTTGTCATTATACAGACTCTTATATCTCATTTACTATTCATTCTATGTATCAGTAGTTGTGAGGTATAGTAGAGCTGGACTGAGTATTGGTCGTGATGATCAACAGTGTACGGCAACGCTCTATGTGTTAGTACACATGTGTGTGTTACTCCTATAATCAGAGTCTCTCTGATTTCTGCACACAGAGTAGGGTATCCACCCAAGTATGTAGGAAAATGGAAACATTTATTGACTTTTATTGTCATATTGTCTGATCATCATCTATATTGTAATTTTCTCTCAGGATGAAACATATTGTAGAGTTATTACAACTGCGCAGTAGACTTAAAAAAGAAATAGTAATCTTTTGTGAAATGCAATGAAAAGAAAATGTTTCAGATATTTTGCAAGTATATTACATTGCCATGTATTTTTCAATACTAGTCATAGTATTTAAGTTATTTCTCCAGTTTTGATTTATACGTATTAATTATCATTCAGCTTGTTAGAGATACTTAACAATTTAAGTTTTCCTGTCGTATGGCAACACTGAAATTTATTTTCTTATGTATGTCGAGAAGAAAGCAAACTGTACTTTAATAACAAACATGACTCAGAGTAATACAGAAATACTTGTGTGTCATTCAACGTGTATTAGAATATAATGTAGTTTAACAATAATATTAAGTGGAATTAAAGTGAGTGTGTTTGGCTGAGATCTGCGTGTGTTCGTGTGCACAGGCCTCAGAAGAAGTAGCCAAGCAGCTGAAGATCGTGAAAGAGATGCTCATAGGAACTGGTGATTCCGAGCCACAGATGGAGCAAGTGGTCGCTCAGCTCGCCCAGGAGATGTACATGTCTCACCTGCTGCTGTTGCTAATACAGAACCTGAGTAAGATCGACTTTGAGGTGAGTCGTAATGGGTGCAGTGAGCTGAGGCAGGCACGAATATCTCGTTGTATAGTTCGTTAATCGTTGTCCAAATTTATTGCTAGCGTTTAGAGTTTCCTAGAAGCTATGTTGTAATCTAGACGGTTTATTCACTCATTCTAACCGTTCTGGCCACGTTATCTGAATGTACAAACCTTCTGAAATCCTACCTTAAATGTACAAACCTTCTGAAATACTGGCTTAAATTACAAAGCGTATGAAATACTGGCTTAAATGAGATGAGAGAAACGGTAGTTAAGTGAGAGTGAGACTCGCGACTCTACTGTCGGGTTGTGCCGAGAAAGCTGAGCAATGTTGATGTTTGTGTTTCGCTCTCTCGCTCGCAGCCGAAGAAGGATGTAGTTCAGATATTCAACAACACCCTGCGGAGACAGATCGGCACCCGGTCGCCTACCGTCGACTACATCTGCACACACAGAGAAATCCTGTTCACTCTAGTTGGCGGGTGAGTCGCACGCACGAGTAGCGCCCTCTGTAGTGCACAACAGGCTTTCAGATTTGAAAAGTACAGGAGGACTACTAATGACTCCCCTAGAACACCATAGGGGACTTTTCACGCTCCATATACATACACCCTTAAGAGGCATGATGGAGAGCCTCCATTAAAAAATCACACCCTTGAGGCATGATGGAGAGCTCCACTAAAAAGCACACCCTTAAAAGGTCTGCCATTGTTTAAGATAACGACGAAGGTGTATGAAAGCTGCATTCTCATGTGCTACTGAAACAAGAGTTGGGCCAGAATAGATACTCCAGTCAAGGGCTCGCGATCCATTGCAACTCTATGGACAGGGAAAACTAGCCTCAAGGCCACGCGTGACGCGCGGCTTTTGATGTACACGATCGATCGATCGCGTACTATATATACGGCCTGTGTAGCACGCGCGCCATAACCACAACCACACACACTTGCAGCGTCAAATAAACGCACACACTGGCCAACGTCTGACAATCTCAAACAGTGAACTAAGCCGTGTCTATAATTGTAAAGCAAACTATATTACAATGGTATTAATGAAGGTACTGTTAGTAGGCTGTTGGACTGTAAAATGAAAATGTGTACATTCTAACCCTCCTAAAGATTTCTTCTCAACGGATTTAGACGTTTCACAAAATCGACCCCTGGGACTGTGAAATCCGCGGATTTCCGGCGGATCCCGCGAAGATTCTCATCGCCTGTAAAATGGAGCGCTATTTCAACATAATACACAGACTTTTGGGTGCACGATTTCAACCACTTTTATGAGGCGCGATGATTGCGCGCACCATGGCACAATGTATGGTGCGCGTGGAGCGCGGAGCGCGATCGCGCCCCTTAAAAATGAAAGCCTGGCACAACATTGTTGCGTTACCGCTTCACCATCATTTGTGTGTTTTAGTGTTCAGCATTGCTTGGCTCATTCATTCGTTAAGGCTCGGTATCAGGTAACAAGTTGTGATTGAAAGATATTCCAGGCAGTGTTTTGTGTTGTGACAAGGGAAGAGGCAGGTTTTGCAGTGTTCTTCTTCTTCATGTATAGGTTTACAGAAATTTTGTGTTCCGGGTTGCTGCTCCTTCTGCATAGGTTTTGCAGGGATGTTCTCATACATAGGTTAGAAGGAATGTTGTTCATACATATGTTCTGCGGGGTTGTTATTCATACATACAAGAGCATATTAAGTATGAGAGCGTACAACGGTGAAATGCAACTTCATGTTGTAGTTTCAGTTGAATTAGTAAACTTTACCCATTTTATTTGGACAATTCTTTGCGGTATTATTGTGCAGCAGTCCTACCTTGATAATATAAAACCAACACATGACGCACGGTGACACGTGTGTGATTCATGGTGACACGTGTGTGATTCATGGTGACACGTGTGTGACGCACGGTGACACGTGTGTGATTCATTATTTCAGCTATGAGTCTCAGGAGATTGCGCTACCGTGTGGACACATGCTGCGTGAGTGCGCGAGATTCGAACCTCTGGCCAAGATCATCCTGTTCTCTGACGAATTCTACAACTACTTCAAATACGTTGAGGTGTCGACCTTCGACATCGCCTCTGACGCCTTCTCCACGTTCAAGGTTTGCAACGATAGCGATTAACGAAGAGCGTTAACGAAGAGGGATTAGCTGCGTTGCGATTGATCAAGTTCATTGAGCGTACATTGTTTCAAGTTGATTATTTCGAGATGTAAATTTCATGATTAAGTTTCGCTCAGTTGCCGGTGGAACGGCGTTTCACGATGTGAGTTATGCAATTATTTTGAATGACAAGAACATAAATAGCAGATAAAGCCCGGCGCACACCGTGATTATTTTACTCAATTAAAATGACGCCATGAGTCATTTACTTCACGTGTGCGGCGGATTTCGTTGAGTAATTTGATGCATGCGTCATTTTACTCACGTGTGCGGCAGATTTCGTTGAGTAATTTGAGATGCTGCGTCAATTTACTCACGTGTGCGGCAGATTTTCGTTGAGTAATTTGACTCATGTGTCATTTTACTTGAGTAAAATAACTCACGTGTGCGCCGGGCTTAAGTTATAACTTCCTTGATTGTTTCAAATATACTTCACGAGTCGTTTTTAATTGATCGCATGACCGCAGACTTACTAAACCTTAATCACCATAAATTCACCAAAATTAATAATATTCTTAATAATATATATATAATATATATATTCTTTATATTATTTATTTCTTAATATTTTCAACATTAGATTTGTGAAATTTGCACTAATTCCCATTAGAAATTGTTCAGATAGCATCTGTTAAAAATTCTGACAGGGGCACTAGCTTGCTGATCGTATGATGTAGGATTTATCGGATAATACCGTGTGTTGTATGTTTGTTTCTTGCTAAATTGGGGATTGTCTGTGAACATGAAAAAACAACATTTTCTCATTTTTCTCAGATTTTAAGATATGATTATCTAAGAAAAAACATCCCAGTTGTACAACGTGAGACTGGGCTTGTAGTAGTAGGTGGGTTCCGACACAAATATAAATGCCGTTGTCGTTGCTTGCAGGAGTTGTTGACAAATCACAAGATCATGTGTGCGGAGTACCTAGAGTTGAACTACGAGAACTTCTTCAGAGCTTACCAAGGTCTACTGGACTCTGAAAACTACGTTACCAGGCGACAGTCGCTGAAGGTAATGCCCAAGCTCTTCACCTGCCAAATATAGTTTCATGCCCCGTGAGACAAAGTAGTCATGTAAGAAGACTTGTGATAGCTTCCTGCATTAATTTACTATTAGTGCATCACATGATAAATCTTTGACATTTTATTGGATAACGTCGCAGGTACTATGAAACAATTTATTATTGCTTGCGCGACGCATTGTTATTATAACGCATTGTGTTTTAATACAAATTGAATTGTTCGTTTAAGAAACTTCTATTTATGTCTTATTCAGCTTCAATATTGCCAGATAGATTGCAAGTCAATGTGATGGCACTAAAAACATTAATGCCTGTTGTTGGGCACTATGAGAGCATAAGTGCCCCGAACAACAGGCATTAATATATAATATGATTAATATCTCTAGTTGCTGTTTACAGGTTTAGAGGAAGCTCAGCCGCGCATGTCTTCTATCGCTTCTCATCCCTAATTGTTGTGCTGTTGTTTTGCCTGTATAGGCTTCTAGGAGAGCTACTGTTAGATAGGCAATAACTTCACGATCATGCAAGAAGATACATCGCCAATCCAGAAAACCTCAAGATGATGATGAACATGCTGAGAGAGAAATAAAAACATACAATTCGAAGCCATTCCACGTATTCAGGTTTGTAAGATAAAAACCGGTCTATCCTTCTCTCCGACACGTAACGATTGTTACACTGGTTCAAATAATGAGTAAGCTAGATGACTTGAACGACGAGTCGGAGGTTGACATTGCATTAAGATCATCGTAGACACTACCTGCACCGCTGAGCAGTTGCTAAAAAACATTCTCCTGGTTTTCTTGCTATATATATTATATACAGTCACCCGGTGTAAGCAATCAGTTCATAGAACTGACACCTGGTCTATAAAGGACAACCTCTATAGAACTGACACGCTGTCTATAAAGGACAACCTCTATAGAACCTGACACCTGCTCTAATAAAGGACAGACCTCTTATAAGCACGTGTCACCCTGTCTATAAGACAACACTCTATTAAAGCGGATCACCTCGTCTAATAGAAGGACAACCTCATATTAGCATGGGACACCTGTTATATAAAGGACAACCTCTATAGACTGAACCTGTGCTCTAATAAAGCGACAATCTCTAATACAACGACCACGCCTGTATATTATAAGGACAACCTCTATAGCACAGACATCTGTCTATAAAGGACACATTTGGCTGATCCATCCAGTGGCAGCTCCTGAGTGACACTTTTTCGTGTTTCGCATCGGTGACTTATCATTACCAGGTTTGACTGTTAGTCGTGACATTGAAGGACAACTACGCCGTACGCGTGACGCTGGCAGGTTACGTTGCTTTTTTTCCGCGTTAGGTGTTTGTGGCGAAACCCGATCAAACCGAAACCCATCCTCGACATTCTGCTGCCGCAACAAGGAAAATCTCATTGAGTTCCTCACAAGTTTCACACGGACGCGGACAGACGGATGAACAGTTTAATGATGAGAAGGCGTACCTAATTTCGCGCAGATCAGGGAGCTGAAGCCGGCTAGACGATGCCGCGCAAGCGATCGATAACGCTGGACAAACGCGCCGACGACTGACGGTAACAGACGGCAACCGCGCGAACTGACGGTAACCGACGCGCAACTGCCGACGACCGACGGTTGAACCGGACGGCAACAGTAAACTGGCTGTAAGCGGTGCGGAGCGTATTGTGTTATTGATGCGGCGGACGATTGAGAGGTGCGGAAATCACGACCCGCCGTGCCGACCAGAAATGCTAGAAGCGTCTTTATAATTGGCTGTTCTCTTGTCACAGCTATCCTCGGTTGGCGACGTCTCCCGCGGTGTGAGGGGTTCCTGCCACGCCTGATATTCAGGTGAATGTAGACACACACACGCACAAATAACATACATAGCATACAATACACGTTGTTGACACCAAATATCTTACAGCTAAAACTTTGAAAGGGCTACTCTGAGAGAAATACTCGTGCCGAGACAAACGCTTCCTTTTAGATGGCTATTCGCCTCAATTTATGCGCTAAGTACGGTTATGGGAGAGTGTGACCGGGGGTGTAGTAAGCGGCTTTCCGTGAATGTTCATCATGTGATGGTGGTTCCCTATGTGCAGCATAACTTCTTTAGTGTGAGGATGACATCTGTAAGCAACCGCGGTCACCACGTATAATATATGCCTGTAATAGGTCTCGGCTATTACACTACAACATAAAGTATACCGACTGTCCGACCGGCGGCGGAAACGCTAGAACACGCCATTGATGTATTGCAGCGAACGCGTACGGATTCGGCCTCAATCGTAAACGCACGTAGTCACTTGTGACGTACGACGTCACGTGAACACATTGTTTGCGTCGTAAGTCGCACAAGTGATGGCGGAAAGGTCGGATGGTGACTGTGTAGTCGCGTGGGCTATAGCCGAGATCGTCGTGTGCAGCAACTGACATCGTTGCTCGTGTGACACGCCTTGTAGAGGGCGCTCTATCTAGCACTCGCTAACTCAACGTGACAGGCTGGTGTTTTTCCCCATAGTAGAAATGGTTTATCCACCCACTCCGCATCCACCTTGTGATGCCTAACTAACAGCTAACGCACCCCGACGGATAGCGTAGCCTCGGAGTCGTGTACCTGAAACCTCTCTAGCATCTGTAGATGGTTTTTGGGTTGCTTAACGAAAGGAGACGGTTGCCGTTTTTTTCTCGTGCATCTTCTATTTCTCGTGGTAACCATCAGTAAGATACCGTGTGTGAGTGTAGACTCGCGCGCCGCGCAGGCCAATGCGCCACCCGACGAAGCAGTTAACAGTGTAAACAGTGCGTCTTGATTGATGGCGATACCGCGCTCGTCTGTTGTTTCCCTGTCCACTATCACGCGTTACGATGGCACGTTCTAAGCACAGTGTTAGCATACGAGTGGCAGCAGTGGCGTGCGTTGCTTGCGTGCGTGCGTGCTGCGTGCGCGTGCTGTGCGGACTAGCGTGCGTGTGGTCAACCGTGTGGACCGGGTAGTGTTCACGCATAGACCTAGCTACACTATCCGGAGGGCGGCGTCACCTCCCTTGCTTGAATGGGTCCGAGCATCGCCGTGCGCACGAGATTTAACGAAATTTTGTTCTCCATTTCGGTGTTGATCGACGAATCTTTTTTCTTTCCCCCTCTCTAATATCTTCTCACCCCTCTCTCTAGTCCTCCGTCCTTCTCTCTCCCTTTCATCTCTCACCTCCTCTACTCCTGCTTTCTTCATCTATCCCCTCTCTCCATCTCTCTCTATCTCCCCCCCTTCTCTCTACCTCTCCCTCTCCTCTTCGCCTCTCTTCTCCCTCTCTCTACTCTTCTCTTCATCTTCTCTCTCTCTCTCCTCTCTCTCTCTCTCTCTCTCTATCCCTTCTCTCTCTCTCCTCTCTCTCTCGTCTCTCGCTCTCTGCTCTCTATCTCTCTCTCCCTCTCTCTATCTCCCTCTCCCCCCTCCTCTTCTACTCTCCCTCTCCCACTCTCACTACCCCTCTCACCCTCTATCTCATCTCTATCTTTCCCTCTGAGCCCCTCTCTCTCTTCTCTCTTCGGGCACTCATGGCTTGTTCTTCTTCGACACTGTAGGAACGAGGAAGCCAATAAAGACATGAATGTCGCCACACACACAGCATATATATTATATATATAATATATAGTTATATCAATACGATGATAGAATATAGATGTGTGTGTGCTTTTTGGTTTGCATATATACATAAATATATATATTTCTCGGTTTGATGGCAGGGTACGCACGCACAGTTTTTGTCTGTACTAGATTTTATGCTTGCTGATATTTGATAGGTATGTCCACGCGTTGGTCTTCACTGGGCCAGTGGTAGCTACTTCCGTTGGTAAGATCTTTGATTATATAGATAGCAATTTATTTTCACGTGATTTCCGATAGAGAGGTGAGGCTGCTTATGGTGTGTAACGTACGTTACAGCATTTATATTCACACTCAGTTGTACAGTTTGCCGGCCGAATGTCTTGTAAGTTGAATTTTGTTTTAAAGACAAGGGTAGACTGTATTACTATAATAAATTGTGTAATATGGACACATAATGTAAATAATAAACCATCTAATGATTTTATTCCATGTTGCTTTTTGTTTGTACTTACCAGTTTCTTTTCTATAATCTTTGTAACTGAGAGTTTTACAGGGACATTGATCGTTGGTTTCCGATTCTACCTCTCGCTTTCTCTTCTCACCTCTCTCTTCCTTTCACAGTCTCTTTACCTCTTACTCCCTCACATTCTTTCCCTCCCTTCCTCCCTCCCTCCATCTCTCCCTCTTCCCTCCCTCCGTTTCTCCTGCCCTACCTCCCTCTCTCTTTTTGTGTCGTAGAAGAGTAAAGACGTGTTAGTAAAACGAATGCGTAAACTATGTTTACGTATAAAAAACGCGTGAAAACAGGAGGATATAATTACGTATTTCAATAATGTAGCAGCGATTTTGATCAAATATGACATTCTCGCGCCATCTATCGGTAGAAATAATTTATATGCGCACATCGTGTGCATTGCGCGTCCATGTAAAATTTGTATAGTGTGCGCAACCGTAAAAATGCACAAATAAACGTATTATAATACAACAGCAACGTATTTAACGTAGGATAAAATAATATACATATTGTATTGATAAATGATATACTTAGCGATAGGTTTCGGCTTTTGCAAAGCTTTGGTAGTGGCATTCCCATAATCCACCCCGACATAACCATATCACACGTGGCGCGTGTTTTCAACTGTTCATAATGTTTTCAACTTCGTAACCTCGTAAATTCTAATAGTCTTTATAGTCATAGGTACTATATCAAAGACGGAAAGAGACAAAGTTGATCAAACAGACAGAACAACACTGCGGATCGCAGTAGAAAAAAACCCAAGTTTGCATCTAACTAAAGAGGAAGGTCGAAGGAAGAGAATTATTCTATTCATCGTTTGTTTTTTAAGAAAATGGTAAGTATTGGCTTGATAAAATTTAATAAGTGACATACTTTATGATAAGCTAATGCAAATGTTATTATTTGTTAAGTAAATCATTTGGAATAATTAAGCGGGGAACTCCCACGAGGATTCGCCAAGCTTAGACTAATGTCATGAAACACCACTGTCACTCACAGGCACTTGAAGCGTTTCAATAAAATATAATGCTAAATAATACGAAATCTATTTACTACCAAATTCTTAATGTTTATATACTATCTTTCACCTATTATTGCCGACAGTTTCCTGTGAATTCCGTCCAAATCCTCTATGTGTGCAACACACGCTACCGGCCGCCATGGCTGCCGCTGCACACTAACACTATATATATATAAGTCAACAATATGCCAAAAACGGGCGGTTAGGGTCGCTTCAACGCATTTTTTTCGACACTTCCTGTTAACTCACATCATGTTTATCGGTTGAAATGAACAAAGAACACCCTCACCAGCACCCCTGTCGATTTTAAAGGGGCTACCCCCACATTTACGAAAATGACATAGGTCTCAATGGGCCCCATGTTCTCTATCCTTGAACCGTTCCT